AACGCAGCTCAGAAGTCAGTATAGATATATGATCTGGGTTTCTGCACTGTCTGGAAAGCAAGTAGGTTTATATTGGACTCCGCGTGGGCCTCATATTGAGATGGAGGTGATTGACCAAATGCTGGGCGAATGGTGGTGAGGGCGGGCTTGTCTAAAACGTGTGGAGGCTCAAGTTACCACGTGATAAGTAGCATCACCGCTATGCACACCGCAGTTCCATTCAAGCTATCAAAAACATGATGTGTTCGTCGATATGAATCACTAACGTTTCCCAGGGAGGGTCCATATCATGACTTCACTCGGACTTTAATGCCCAGTGCGGGGCCCTAGCCTTTCGGCCCACTTACATGGAGGCGGGACCCCAAGCGATCAAAAGTGGCCTGAGCACTTAAGAATATCCTAAGTTTTGTTTGTGACTAAATGACTCTGGCGACCAAACAGGCTCAGCGGCTGGTGAGTCCTCGGTAGCCAGACGAGCACTTGGTGGCCAAATAGGCCCACGAGAAATAGAGGCGCCTTTTGGTGATTGGAAGGACCTTGGAAGCTCCTAAGCAGGTAGGGGTACGCGCTACCGGGGCTGTTAAATGGTCAGAGGCCCCGCCATATGCGTGGTGTTCACGTGTCTGCCGTAGCTGTACCATGTTCACGATGTCACGCGATGTGATGATGTGGCTATGGTGTGCCCACAGAAATGCAACTTGAAGGCGGTCACTGTCCTGCTGGACCACGGCGCGGACGTAGGCGCCAAGAACGGCAAAGGCCGCACGCCGCTACACGTGCTGGCCGAGCGGGCGCCGGCGGACGAAGCTGAAGCGGCCGCCGGTGCCGCCATTGCGCGCGCCCTGCTCTCGCAGCCGACCGTGGACGTGGACGCGGCGGACCGGGCCGGCTGCAGCGCCCTCTACCTGGCCGCTGTGTCCGGCGCCGACCTGGTGGCGCGCTACCTGCTGAGTAACGGTGCTGAGCGAGCCTGGAGCGTGGACGGCCGCTCGGCCGGCGAGCTGCTGGAACCGCGCGGCGTCAGCGCCGACCCGAAGCTGGCCGTCACTGCGCTCACCGGCCGCAGCGCGCACAACGTGCTGTTTGAGGCGCTGCAGGAGCGCAACCTGGATGGCTTCTGCGCCGTGCTGCGCGCCAACTCCGGCAACCGGCGCGTGGTGGACGCCAGCCACGGCGGTCGCACCTGCATGCAGTACGCCTGCGACAATGGGCTGCATGAGTTCGTTGCGCCGCTGCTGCGACACGGCGCCGACGTCAACCTGGCCGACCCGAGCGGCTGGACGGCGCTGCACTACGCGGCGGCGCGCGGCTACCCGCGCGTGCTGGAGCTGCTCATCCTGCACGAGCCGGCGCCGCGCGACGCGGCCGACGCCGGCGGCGAGACAGTGTTGCACAAACTGGTGCGCGCCGAGTACGCGGCCGACAGCCGGCCCGAGCTGGCCGACCGTGCGGCCTGCCTGCGGCGGCTGGCCAAGCTGGCCGCCGCCGACCCCGACCGCCTGCAGCTCGACATCAACGGCCAGGACAAGCTCGGCTCGACGCCGCTGCACTACGCGGTGCAGTGCGGCGACGCGGCCGCCATCGAGGCCCTGCTCCGACTCGGAGCCAACATAGGCGTCAAGAACCGGTTTGGCGAGACGCCGATCAGGGGCCTGCCACCGGACGTGCTGCAGCGTTACTTGGACGAGTGTGTCGACTGCAACGAGAAGCCGGTGACGGACGCCGAGTTCCAGATCCAGCTGTGCTACAGCTTCCTTGCGCCGCGCCGCCGCCGCGGCCACGAGGCCGAAACTGAGCCGCTCCCCGAGACCGAGTCGCTCTGGTACATGGCGCAGTCGAAGCGACACCGGTACTTGCTGAAGCACCCGGTCATTTCGAGCTTCCTCGACCTGAAGTGGCAGAAGGTCCGAGGCTCGTTTCTAATCAACCTGGCGCTCTACACGCTGTTTGTGGCCTTTATGACAACGTTGGTTTTCTTGCGGTCTGAGCACGGTACGAACTCGCGGCAGAAGCGCCAGGCGACCGAAAGCCCGACGACGGCCGGCGCAGGCGGCGCGGGCGACACAGGCTACCAAGCCGTCTTCTACATTACCGCCATCATGGTCGTCCTGCTCATAATTCGTGAGCTATTTCAGTTTCTGGTGGCCCCAAGACGGTACATTTTCAGCTTTGAGAACTATGTGGAGATATCCATGCTGACGTTCTCGGTATTGTTGATGTTTTCCGGAGCTGAAGATTTGCTAGTCCGCAGGTATTCATCGCTGGTTATTCTGCTTTCCTGGGCAGAATTCTTCATGCTGATGGGCCGGCTCCCTCTCTTCTCCATATATGTCACCATGTTCACCACCGTGCTCTTTCGGTTCGTTAAGTTTCTCCTTTGGTATCTAGTTCTGATTTTGGCGTTTGCCCTCAGCATGTACATCATGTTCCAGGGTGACGAGGCCTTCCCGGACCCAGCCACGGCTCTGGATAAAGACGTTGGTGATGGCCATTGGTGAGATGGACTACGGCTCGTTGCCCATAGCCCAGCACACGCCCGCTGCCCAGTTGGTGTTCGTAGCCTTCCTCTTTCTCATTGCGATCGTGTTGATGAACCTGCTGAATGGTCTGGCCGTGGCCGACACGGGCGAGATCCGTGACCAGGCGCAGATCTACGGCTACGTCGGCCGCGTCGAGCTCATCTCCTACATTGAGTCGATGCTTCTGGGGGATCCGTTTCCACTTTCTGTCCAACTATCCGCCGTTCAAGTGGCTGCAATGGGTGCCTGACTGCACTCCATGTCGCTGCCTGGAGGCCCTCAGCCCGCTCAAGGGTTTGCGCAACTGGCTGGGCGATCGCACTCTGCTCTTCTTCAACGCTCTGCCCACCAAAAACTTGACGGTGTACCCCAACCAGCGGAACGGGCTGCTCGACACGAAGACCTGCCACAGAAGCTTCTATCTGGACAAACAGATCATGGATGACGCCAAGACTCTGCTGATCCTGAAGCGGTCGCCAGCCGATGACGTTTCAGGACGGCTGGAGAGATTGGAGGCCAAGCTGGATCGACTGCTGAACATCTTGGTCCCATCGGAAGAGAGCAGTGGCTGAATAGTAGCAGTTATCCGAGGTCAGGAGCGGGGCCGTCCTAGAAGGCAGAGGCTGGCTTTGCACCCATCATGTAAGGGACCATGAACACATGATTGTGTGTTTCCGCAACGTGTCACTCAACTCAGTTCTTCGCATTTGCTTTTCAGGGTGCGGAACAGCTAGATTCGCACAGTCATTCGCCTTGAAGCTGCCGAGCTAGCGGTTAGGTGAATTTGTTTTCCTTATCGGCCAGCCATCGATGTCAGCGCCCCGTGCCGAAAGCTGGCAGCAAATTCGTTTTTATAGCGTTTTCTTCCACGGTGTCTGGGTTCGCAGGCAACTGAACTATGAGCTCCTTGTGACCTTCGCATACACGTATATGCGTCCTGTGCGTACACATTGGCAGTCCCCTGTCGTGATCCTCTCTTTGTATATGGCTTTAAGGAGTCTATCGAACTGCTAAACGGACTACTATTGCTCTCGATGGCATTCTTGGTTATGCGATGACATCAATACAGAGTACTTTCCTATTACTTTTTCATGCCCTCCTTTGAGACACTCCCCGATGCTGTGGTATGTAGGGCTTATTATCTGAACGGAAGGTCGATAGGAAGGCAAGGAACGTCCAAGTACCCTGACAATTTGGTACCAGCACAAGAACACTACTGAAAGTCAAGGCTTGTGGAAAGGAAAAGTCCTTAGGACAAGGAAGGATAATGAGGCATATTGCACCATTTTAATGTCCAGGAAGTCTGTTATGTGTCACTGTAACCACCTCAATGATCGCGATCGGCGCAACCCCAAAAAAGCGTTGTACATACTGCAGCGAGTGGCAAAAGTCCCCATATCTAGTTAGGTAAAATCACACCAACTCACACAATTTCACGCAATTTCGCGATAGCGTTATATCACTGATTGGACCTCAGCTGTCGCGGTCGCCGCGCTAACTCTGGAGTGCACAGTCACATTTATAAAAATCCGAATCAGTCGGCGACGGGCACACAGTTTACTGAAACTCCGTACAGCGGGTAAAACAATGCCAGTATACCACAGTAGGCCATAACACGCCACGAAGCTCGTTGCGCTATTAGTGTGATCCCATCCGAATGATAATTTTTCTCCCGCCTTAAAGCACGATGTGCTGGCATAGTTATTAGCATATAATATGAGTATATATATATATATATATATATATATATATATATATATATATATATATATATATATATATACATATATATGTAGTACCAGTTATTATACCCATCCTCATGGGCCCCAATGGACGATAGATCTAACACTAAGGAGTTATCTGAAGCTCGACCGTGGCTGGGCATTACACAGAGTTGTGAGGTATTACTCAGATGCACCCTCGACCCGGCCACGTAGCGTACTGTGTTCGGTTGTGGGTCACTGGTCCAAGTCATGGCCGTACTGTGTTCGGCTGTGGGTCACTGGTCCAGGTCACGGCCGTACTGTGTTCGGTTGTGGGTCACTGGTCCAAGTCACGGCCGTACCGTGCTCGGGTGCGGGTCACTGGTCCAAGTCACGGCCGTACCGTGCCCGGGTGCGGGTCACTGGTCCAGGTCACGGCCGTGCTGTGCTCGTTTGCGGGTCGGTGGTCCCAGTCACGGCCGCATGAGGCCATTGTCTTCGCCTCAGCCTTACTCCTGAGAGACGTGTCACGGTCCGAGCCCCGAGAGTCCGGCGCTTGTGCTGCGTGTGACGCGCTCATCGTGACGCCAGTGCTCCGTCACGAGTAACGCTGTGACTGTCCGCTGAGCCGTCCCCTGACGCGGAGCTTAGCGTCACGGCCGCAGCTGTACCGAGCCGGTCAAAGAACCGGTTTGCTGTCCTGTACGCCGACTACGAGAAAATGAATGTCGTGGCTGCTTCGAGGTGAGTTCATATGACCGTAATTAAAGCCATGTAGGATGATAGCTGTGACAGCGAGGTATTTTGTATTTTCCCCCAACGTCATAAAATAACGCCTCAGCATAGATCGGCCCCTCAATAGCATAAGTGGTCTCAGAGGGCACACAAGCCAGAGCAAATGGGTTGATATCCCACTGGACAAATTTGCGAAACGACTGACGGGCCAGCCCGGCCGCGACCGACCGCTCCTGGGCCGGGTAGAGCGTACACTCAGCCGTGAATGACCGCTCCTGGGCCGGGTAGAGCTTACACCCGGCCGTGAATGGCCGCTCCTGGGCCGGACAGAGCGTACACCCGGCCGTGAATGGCCGCTCCTGGGCCGGACAGAGCGTACACCCGGCCGTGAATGACCGCTCCTGGGCCGGGTAGAGCGGACACCCGGCCGTGAATGACCGCTCCTGGGCCGGGTAGAGCGCACACCCAGCCGTGAATAACCGCTCCTTGGCCGGGCAGAGCAGACACCCGGCCATGAATGACCGCTCTTGGGCCGGGCAGAGCGGACACCCGGCCGTGAATGACCGCTCCTGGGCCGGGTAGAGCGGACACCCGGCCGTGAATGACCGCTCCTGGGCCGGGCAGAGCGGACACCCGGCCGTGAATGACCGCTCTTGGGCCGGGCAGAGCTTACACCCGGCCGCGACCGACCGCTCCTGGGCCGAACAGAGCGGACACCCGGCCGTGACCGACCGCTCCTGGGCCGGGCAGAGCGGACACCTGGCCGTGAATGACCGCTCCTGGGCCGGGCAGAGCGGACACTTGGTGGCTTACTTCAGGCAGTGCCACTGAGATACAGTCTGACGCGGACTCTGCATCATGGACACCCAGTGGGTGACGGCCGTGTCACCGCGCACGTGTCTACCCACGGCCACCTTGCCCACACAGAGGTCCTTCTTGGATGGCGCCGACCGCGGCTCGGCCACGCGCTGCTCCGGCACGTATTCTCCTGAAACGGCGGCTCGGTACCAGTGACGTCACACTACTCCATTGACGAATGATGTTAGGAGAGCGGTTCTTAGGCAACCATGACAGGTTAGGCAAACTGACAAGCGAAAAGGCGGTGTAAATGTTAAAGGGACGGTTCCACAGTTGCATGTGGTTTTGAGCTGACGTCATTTCCATCAACAATCCTCGCAGTTCATGGCCATGCCCTCTAAGACTTCACACCCGCTTATTTCTGAGCTTGATTCACGCGATCTTGTGCAGCCTTTGACACGCCGCCTGTTTGAAAGTCAACCAGACGAGCATGACCTCTTAGAGACGTCACGTGAATACCCCACATCACAGGCCGTATTTTGCTCATGTTCGAATATGGCCACTCATACACAATGCAGTGCATTCGTGTTTGAGATTATGTACAACAAGCGTACCTTCGATTGTAGGCAATAAGCAGCAGCCGGATTGCGCTGCTAATTGCACGTCTGGGTTACCATTATTCGGTTTGGATATTTGTGTCGTAGTCATTTCGCCCAGTAATAACCATTCTACGCCACGGTCATTACGGCCTACGGATGAGAGAGAATATATTCGGGGGGGGGGGGGGAGGAAGCCGTGCCGCATGCACCTGGGAACCCAACCGCCGGAACCGAGCCCGGGCACGAAGACCTGTGGCGGGGCTCTCACCAAGGGTCCCTTCGACCCGCTCGTGACTGGCGCCTAAAGCCTGCCCTGGAGAAGCGGGACGTCGTGATGATGCTGGATAAAGCAAGCAAGAGGATACAAGGGCGGATGGCCTCGATCATGGACCGCGTGTCGCCATAAATAGCACATGCATTTCGGCAAATACTAGACATGACGGATACAGCGACTGGATCTGGAAAGGTCTTTTGCACTTAGCATACCGATAGTTACTAGTGAGGTTTTCATTAAAACTGATGATTGCCTCAATGCCCTCAACTGTAGAACAGTCCATTCAAGGAGTGGTTTGACATCCGCCCGCCCTGCTCCCCTTCCCGTTTGAGCAGCCTTTCAGATGTCTGCTGGTATTTCCGAGAGGCTGCAGGGACAGGCTGTACCAATGCGTTTCGGTTTTGTTGTGCGTGTCCTAAATGAAGCACCCTAAGGAGTTTTTCCATCACATTCCGTGCTTTCATTGGAAAATCGCGAGTGCACTCCCGCTTCGTGTTGTGTTTTACAGAGGCACCTCTCTGTTAACGTTCTCGTTTTTCCCAGGGCCGCGGGACGTAGGGACGGGGGGCAGGGACTGGGACAGTGGCGCCCACACAGCTCTTGGCAGGATCAACAGCAAGGCGTACTGTGGCGTGCTTGCGCTCGTGTAAAAACATGGATCCGGCGTTTGCAACAGTTTCGCAGGGTTGATGTCTGACTTTTGATGTCCGGGCAGACTATGTCATGAAGCCTACTGCACGATGAAGGCGCGTGTACCCTTTACAAATCGCTCATGCAGACCAGAATTTTCCGACCCAAAGCGACGCCAGCAATCCGTTGAAAAGCTACCAAGGTCGCGTTTCTTTTTAATCAGTCTGGAATAAAACATGTTTTGCCTAAATGGTGAGACGGAGAGGCAAAAATGACGCGGGCGTGCCACCCAATTCATGGTGACCAATATCCATCCAAAATATTAGTCTGCTCTGCAATGCTTTGTCACAACAGCCTTAAACGTGATTAACCAAAAATTGCTGGATTTCGTAAGTTCAAAAAACTCCGCCCGTTTCAGGCATGGTGCCGAACATGAACTAGCTGCGCAGTCGCGTATTTGTGCCGAGGGTATTCCGCTCGGCAGATACAATAAGACAGGCGTGCGACTGAGCATTCCAGCTGGCGGGCATAGCAGTACGGGACTGAAATAATGGGCCGGGACAACAGCATGCAATTGTACTGGCGCAAACATGCGTTCCTGTCTGTAGTGTGGGGGGGGGGGGGGGGCATGCATTCTTGAGCGCAATACATAAACTTGCTGGTTGTCTCGCAGATCATGTGATGTCAAAAGCCGTTTCAGCCGGCACCACCAGGTTTGGTATGCAGTAGCCCGTAATGAACGTTACCAGAAGCTGCTGAAGCAATGTTGTGACAGATTTTGAGGCCGCCGAGCGCCACTGAATGTCTTTATGCAAATTTGAATGTATTGCACCGGAAGTCAAAGCCCAACAGCACCTACATTCCTTACACCCGCAGCGGCGGCCGCCTTGGGTGACAAAAGTGCTCCTCCCTCGCACTATTCGTACCAGCATGGATCGTTGTGGTCAGTGACAGTAATGAATCGTTAGGTTGATTTCACAGATGGCGCTAAAGTCTGATGAAACTGATGGCTTCACAGATGACGCTAAGGTCGCCGAAGTGTGAATGTGCTCAGGGCGACATAGCCCCGCAGTAATGGTTCAATGGCTTCCACCCATTTCCGCACTTTTACATGTAGGATTTTTGGAGGACAAAGGAGTCACGATGCGCATGACAGTGCACAAAAAAGTGTTGTCGCGATCTTCCTCCCCCTCCCGCGATCATTTTCTTAGTATGGCACACCTGCGCCCACTGTCGTATGGTCCGAATTCAGCTGTCCATCGCAGTGATTCCAGAAGACATTTCCAGGAAATATATAGCCTTGCATAATTTTTGTTTCAATCGCATGGTGAATGTTGGGTGATGACATACTAGCGCTCCACTATCCACTTACTCCGCACTGCGGTTCTTGCCGAAATATTGTAACGCGCATAGAAACATTTCAGAACGTTCAGCATCGACTCCGTGTAATAGATTGACTCAAAGAGTGGCTAAAACACCATCTTCGAGTTTTTTCTTACTATATGAAAGCAATATGTTTCTCGAATCACTTCACGCATCGCGCAAACATGGGCTTCGGTGGCTTATGAATAGCGGATGGAGGTTTTCATCTAGTGTGAAAAGGTGCTGGTGGTTGCTTGTTATGAGGCGGATATTAGATATTGGTTGGTTGCATTTCTTCGGAGCGACTGTGCTGCGTTTGGGGAAAAATGTACGCATACATTGTGGCTATACCCTGCATCCTCGCATAGAAGGTGTGGGGGCAGAGCGCGGCGTTGGTGTGGTTCGAGGGCGTGCCAGGATAAAACACTCGTGTTGAGATATGCTCCCAATGTTAAGCAGTCCAGAGTCACATAAGATTATAGATAGGTGAATCGACGATGCAGTTTTCATGCTTTAATGCTGTGTCTTAGTGCTGAGGAGTGGGAGACATAAGGATGTGGGCGTAAAGCAGATGACGGCTAAGACTTGATGCATTATTGTGTATGTTTATGTTGCTTTCCGATGCTAAAGGGTTTTTTATTTCATCAAGGGTCGACCAACGTACCACCTGCAGTTGAAGGGAAGGTTTTATACACTTTTACGGGTTTAATCTGAACGTTTTGAATGGATGACTTCCGGGATTATGGCTCACGCTAAGGAGTGCTTGCTGTGTGAGCCTTGACTCCCACCATCCGATCGCACAATTCTAGGTCAACGGCAGGATTTGGTGTCGAAAGTTCAAAGGGAACGTTTCACCTTTTAAGATATTGACGCCAGCATCAGATGTGATGCAATAAGGCCACTTATATCCATTGGAATGTTTTTAAGTGAAAAGACTGATTTTACGTCACAATTCTCTATGCTCCTCAGTGCGTCATGGTTTGATTCATTCATCGCATCGCACCTTTCTTTCATCGCACCTTGCATAACATTGATTGAGCCAACTGACGGCCGTTATGCCTGGAAATCGCGCTCACGAACGCCAGATATGAACGCCTCAACACTTTGTTGTGGCCTTGATCGCCGCATGACTTATGCAGCGGTGAGATTTGAGTGGCGTTATTATGACGTTTTGAATGCCAAGATGACTGATACTCTCCCCGGTACACCTTTCTCCATTTTCGCGGACATGTAGCTCAGAAACGAGAGAGGCTCAAGTCCCAAGAAGAGCGGGATTGTGAACAGCACAGAAAGGTCTTCAAGGTGGCTAGTTCAGTTCAAATTCCCATATAAAGTGGAGCACTCCCTTTACCTAACCGTAACGTTCGGCACAGTCCGTCCCCGTCCTGCCTCTGACGTCATCTGACCATCGCGGCGGCAGCCACTGACCGCAGGCCATGCCTGTCAGCGACGGCAAATAGCGAGCGCTTAAAGCGACTCGAACTCTCCCCGCCACGGTAGAGTGAATAGGAAAGCAGGTTCTGTAACCAATTGAGCTATCGGAACGGACATGGTCATGAACTGAGGCAGGAAGGACATTGTCATGAATCGGAACAGGGCGGACGGACAAAAATGATAGTCACACTGCCATTGACTTTTCGTTAGCAATCATTTGCTGGTTGATACTCCACTTAGTACCATTATAATATCGATAATTTAGAATGTATTTCAGCTCAACATAATTGTCCAACATTTTTGTATGATTGATGCTCCTACCATAGCAATGTAGCGATGGGAGTTGTAAATTCAGATAGCATCCCTTGAACGTTAATTGGTCTTCAGTTCATCGAATCTGCGCGGCCTGGCAAATTCTGAAATCATGTCCGGTCCCAATCCGCGTGCTGCCCAAATGTTCTGGTCCGATCCAATCCGCCTTGCAGATCCACCCAAATCCGCGGATTGATCCAATCCGTGAAGAGCTCTATTGGAGCTATGGAGCTATTGGAGATATCACTACAATCTGTGTGGGTGCCCCAGACAGAGACGGAGACTAACTCGTGGCAAGGGTGTAACAACATGAGAACAATATCACCGGTCGGGTACAACATGGCTGCCCGTATTGCGCCGGCGTGCGGTGATGCAAACGTGCAGGGACTTATCTTTAATCTTATCAATGACACACTTCCGTGTATGGTTCCAGTTGCCTACGATTGCAGTGCAACAAAAAATATACCGATTCTACAGAATGTTGATAAAGTAATGCTAGGATAAAGACAACGCTACCAGGAATAGCGCAGTCATGGGAAAATAATAAAAACCTGTATTTTCAGCACAAAAAGAAGTAAAAACATGCAACCGAGCGCTAATACCATTAAGAGTGCACTGGCCACATAAAAAGCATAAAAATAGCATGCATAGTCCGAAAACCCCTAATATAGCTAATTCGAATAAAAAGTACAAGCTATGACTGGTATGCACAAGACAAATTACAAGTTATGCAAAGTCGACGAGAGGCCGGCAAACGGGCGAGGCGTTTTGGGCCGTTGTAGTTCATGAATTTTCAGCGATTCGCGTTTTAGGCTATTGTGACCAAGCATGGCGAAACACAAAACATTATTTTGAGCATATATTGGCCACCATGAATTGGGCTATACACCTGTATCATTTTATATCTTCATCTCACGCAGTTCAGGTGAGAGCGTGTTGTACTCCAGACCGGTTTTGAAAAAATGCGACATTGGTAGCCTGTTAATAAATAACTGGAGTCGCTCTGTGTCGGGAAGTTCTGGACTGCATTCGTGATCAGTAGAGGTTGCACACAACTTCATCGTGCAGTTGGAATTCATGTGATTATCTGCACGAACTGTCGTGGCCTGACATCAGCCCCAAAAGACTGCTCAAAACGCCGGATCCGTGTTTTTACGCGAGCGCAAGTGAGCCACAGCACGCATTCGGACCACAGCTTTCGCCCGTGCGATTGCCCGTTCTTTGCCAAGTATACAGGTGATGATTTTGTTTTGCTGTAACCCCAGTTGTCAAGATACAAGCCCAATTTCCACCCGCAATTTGGCCGTTTGTGGCGGATATGCGAGCTTCGCGTTTCTCCTGGTAATGAATGGGGCACGGTTGTAATTGTCACGCGCACCACGTCACGCTGGTCAGCGCCGAGTTTGACCCGGATGACCGAGATTGTACCCACAGACCTACAAGGTCGATAGCGTCTCAGAACTGTAAAGACGAACATGTCTTCACCATATGCTTTAGAAACATGGCACCGCCGGCAGATCTTTGTTGTTATTTACGCTATAGATAATCTCGTGAGAAATATGACTATCAAAATGGCAAATTAATTTCATGTGTCATATAAATATCACACGTTTTCACCTAGACTAACCCTCACATATGATGAGCCTACGCTTTTTTTCAACACTGTTCTACACTTTTTCTCAGCACAGCATGTGATCACGAGTCGTGATCATAAGCATAGCTTAAAACGTCGGGTACTATCAAAATAAACTATGTTTGCCTTACAACGTCGCTTAACCCGGCATCGACCGGGCTGCTCAGAAGCACACCACTGGCCGAAGGGGGACAGATTTGACCTCCTCCCTATCTCAAGAACGGCCGGTCCAAATTTAAAACTTCAAGTCGCAATCGATAGCACCGCGGCGTGCGATCTCAGAACACTCGTCAATTTTAAGTTTAACGGTGTATTATAGTCACAGGTCATGGTCAAACCATAAAATGTTACTTTGGAATATTCACCGCTCCCACAACGCATTTCATTATCATTTGCACGCAGGGGCGAAAGAGTGCCTTTTCTGTCACCGACGAAATTTGGAACCGTATAAGTTGCCACTCCGGGTCAAATTTTTCGGAAACTGTTGCAATACATCTCTAAATGTAATAAACCACAAAAAAGTGAAGACAAATTAAATGCAATGTGGCATAACCATCAAATATTTTCGTTCCGGGAGTTCATCTGCACTAAAGTTTCATTTACTGGCCATCAGAGGCTGAATGAAGGTTGAGACTAACCTAACAAAGTTATCAGATAAAGGCATACTCAATATAACCAGCCTAAAGGCGTGTAATTTCCTATTCAGTTGGTGGGGGGGGGGGGGCGTGATTATGCCTCCTAACTAGTGGTGTAGTTTCCTATTTTAGTTATAATTTCTGTCCATTATTTTTAATTTATCATAATTTGGGGTTTCAGCCCCAAACAAAAAACAGTTTTGAAGAACTACACCCCTGCTGCCAGCTGCGAAAAACCCCGTCAAATATAGGGAGAAAACTGCTTTAATTGCATTTCGGATGCAGGCTCAGCCAGTTTTCCTCCTGCACCCTCTTCCCCTTCCCCTTTCATCCTTACCCCTACCCATTTTTCAAAATTGCATCCTGTGGCCCTACACTTGCCGATAACATGGTTTTATAAGCACCTGGAACAATATCCCCCTGCTTTTGTGACGTCATCGTACAATCAGCTGAAAGCCTTAGCGACCGTTATGATCTTTGTGTAATCATTAACGATGCAGAACTCACACTTCCTAACATGTTCCAATTATTTAGAGCAAAACCCATACAATTTTGGCATCAAAAGGTGCAAGCGGCATTTTTGAACATGCCTCTAGCAACTTCATTTAGCTTTATATGCAATATGATGACAACTAAAAGCGTTTTATGTCACGCCTGTCCACTGATCAGCACGCTGTCTGAGTCTGAGGTGCAAAGGGCAGTGTGAGAGGCCCACACCAGCGATGCTCGGCCTCTTACCTCAAAGCCGCTGTTCCTCTCAATAGCAGGAAGCCCCGGATGAATCCTTAACATGTGTCCCTCCAACGAGCTCCGTTTACCTATGAAGCTATAGCTCAGGTGTCCGCAAACAGCAATCCTAGATCGACAAGTCTTTTTAACGTGATTGTCTTAAAAGCTGACAATTAGCTACGTCCTTCTTGGCAGTCAGCTTCTTACGACATGAACACAACCAATAGCAGCCAACAGCCTTGCACTGAACCCAACGCATTACCGTGTGGCGAGCAATCAGTCCCACCTGTCTCAAATGGCATGACGCTTCAAAACGCTGCGTAGCAAACTGATCACGTTCGTCGTAACACGCTGTTGCCAGCCATGGTGCTTATGACTAGTAATAAGCATAGGTATTTTGTATCTTATGCTGTTTAGTATGTGGAGTGAATCTTGGCTTGAAAATATGTGAAAAGCACTGATCTGGGACGATCTGAAAGATCTGGGAAAGCATTGTGTCACCACTGATCTGTTACGTCAGCACTGATATAGTGTAGTTTGTGGTATGTTTCTGTCGCCTGCCAAAACTGTTTTAATCAAAGCTTCTATGTTTGGCAGCATTTTGTGGCTCAACTTGTTCCTACAGCGAAACGTCAACGTTTCGACGTGTGCTCACGCTGCAAGCGTAAGCGAGTACAGGCCAATACTAAACTTTGAGTTTCGCTGAGCTGGGATAATCTGTTGTAATATGTTCTTGTCTGCTGAAATTTGTTTTTATTTTCCGCAATCTTGTCATCAATTCGTTCTCAAAGATGCCAGTTTTTGTCACCGATTATATCTAGTAAATCAGAAACTTTTTCACCCCTGTTTGCACGAGCCGTGCAACTCCGAGCTGAAACTTCCATATGTCGATCTTGATCTGTTTGTTTCCGTCATATTTGAAACATCTAAACGCAAAGTAGGAGAGCTTAGCCACAATTGCGGATATCAGACACGAGAACAAGAGCCATTACTTGTTCATAAACCGTCTAAGGCTTAGGTCAATCGGTGAATGAATAGCCCAGGTGGTAAATCAGCGGCTGGATCGAACTTTAGCGTTGCTTTCATCGGCTCAGTTTTGCTGGCAGCGCAACTTGATACCTTCCAGCCCCGCCACCAGTCACGTGGTCGTCGGTCTGCCTGAGAAAGCTGACAAAAGGCTTGCGACGCCCCGCCACGGCGGCAGGCCTGAAGCCCCGCCGTCCGCCATCGCGGGCCCCGGGCCCACCTGCGCACGGGCAGCATGCACTGCGATACATTTCAAGACATACCTCGGCCATTGTTGCATATAATTGCTTAAAACTTGGTACGGGTATCCTTCATAGTCCTATTTAGGGCATCTCGTTCATGTGTTCATTTATTGAGCATCAGGCCGAAACAATTTTGAGCGCACTTTTTATCAATCTTTTCTAAGACATCGGCAATCATGACGTCACTCCGACGTCACTCGCGCTTGATCTATCATTATCTCATAATTGTTATTTTGTCACAAGACGTAGAAGTTATCAGTTAACAGCTACTAAACATTTAGCAGGGATATCTGAAGGCTTATTTGAATTATCGCAAATATTGGACAGGGGGCAGATTTGTCCCCCCCCCCTCCCCCCCCCCATGTCAATGCCGGGTTCCGGCACCTGCTGGTTTGTTGAGGATTGATAACTCAGGATACCTTTGTGCTCATAATGCTATTTTAGTTGTCCATTCATGAACCATGAGGTCAGCTATGAAAAAGTACATTTTAGTGGAAAACACCTACTCAGAGAGGTGCAATACGCTGCTAAACTGGTCAGGCACACGCGTACGACAGGAAGCGTTCCTCTGTCACACATGAAAGTTGGCGGGATGCAGCCTGGCGAGTGGTGGCGTACCTGAGCCGCTGCTGGTCAATGTTGAGTCCGCTGGCCGGTGGAAAAGGCAGACGAGCAGGGTCACCGCCTCCAGCTGGGTGAACGGCAGGTCGAACACGACCGTCTCGTCGAAGATGGGCGCCGCGCTGCCTTGCTGTGCCGTCGTCTTTTTCTTCTTGATGACGCGACCCGACCCGCTCAGTAGAAACGCCCTAACGTACGGGCCTGCCGGGAGGAACGTCGCAGCTCAGAGCCGTCAGCGAGTGGGCTACTTCGGGACCAGGAAGATTGCTGAGGCTGAACTCATCGCGTGACAGAGCCCTCAGGCTGACACTGTTCTCCGGCGCCGCTGTGCCCAGTCATCATCAGCGCGGGGCAAGGTGCGTAGTGAGGAGCTGGCGTACGTACAGAACTGCTGGTCATCCTCGGTGACACGTGACGTCACTAGATTCGTGGCGCGCGCTAGGGTTAGTGTCAGACGCTGTGCGGTGGGCAAGTAGCTGAGGCCGAACAGCAGTTCTCCGTACGTCTGTGAATGGAAGGCGTGGCACGTGTTAAGATACTCGGATGCATTTCATGATCGCCATCTCACCTCGGAGCAGAGATCGCAAGAAGCCTGTCATGTTTTGAATCGACATTGCGCATTGTAAACCACGGTCCATGGTTTTGTGCTGCACACATCAACATATGATCTTGCCAGTCAGAACGTACAACTCCCGATGAGCTGTTAGCCTAGATAAGAACAATATGCATGCATCGTTTATGTTAGAAAAATAAACAAATTGTACATGCAAAGGAGGCTAATCATGATCAGAAGCCCTCACAGTATCTGGGAGGTACAAGAAGAATAAATTAAGTGCGTATCCCATTGATGTATATGAGTGAGCACCAACACGAGAGGCCTGTATCTATTGGACGGCGATAGCACGCTCACGTTTACAGTTTGCTCAAGTACTCCACGTTCAAAGATGAAAACAAGTATTAATCGTTTCTCAGGTTTCTGTGTGTGTGGACCAAACCTTGCTGCTGGGCCTTATAGACTCCGATATGAGCTGGACGGCCTCTGAGGTGAGCAGCTTCTTCAGGGCGCGCAGTGGCTGCGTCACAGAGCCGATCTCAGTCGGACTGCCGTAGCGGTCCTCATCGTATACGGTCAGCTTCAGCACACAGTCCTGCCAACCGACGAGCACGGCGCGATCAGCTTCAAGGGACGGCCCTGCTCTTAGGAAAGCAGGGCAATGTCAGCCTAAGCACGCCATTGTGCCGAACTGCAAGCACGTTATGATCACCTTAAATACACGACAGGGCAGGGCGAGAACTTTTGTGAAGTGCAAGGTACAGCTTTTGAAAAAGTTTTCCCACAACCCCAAATGAGTGTGTGTAAAAGTTGAGAACCATTTCTCGAGCGTGGGCGCGGTAGGCTCAGCGCTAAAGCAATCGCCGCGGCGTGAGTCAAACATTGTAGCATCCGGTGATGCCACGCCGTTGCATTCGGTACCTAACACAACGTGAAATACGCTAAAGGAAGGGCGGTACTAACAGCGCCGAAGGCAATGGTGGGTCTAAGAAATTGCCTAAGTTACGTGATAATGATGATGCTGATGGTGATTATGCTGATGAGGATGGTCATTGTTCTTAGTAGTAGTAGCATTAGTAGTAGTAGTAATAGTAGTAGTACTAGTAGTAGTAGTAGTGTTGTTATTAGTCACTATTAGTAGCGTATAGTTTTAGTGTGTTGATATTGGTGTTAGTATTAGTATTAACATTAGTATCATTGTGTGCGTACACAAAGTTAGGTGAGATCTTGCTTTATATTTTTGGCGACACACAAGGCTATCTTAATTTCGCTAGGATGTAGTCAAATCTTACCACAAAATACAAAGCTTCAGATTTCGGCCTCTTTGTCGTCAGGAAACTTTCATCATGTAACGGTAGAGAGCCTATATTCAGTCCAGATTCCATTCAACCCAGATTCGGCAGCACAAATGTGGCGAATTCCCTTCGATATGCTCACCGGAAGAAGCATCGTTCCTCGTTCATGGAAGGCAGCGCGAAAAGGCAGTTTTGGATAAGATTGATTGGCCTGGCTCGTGCAGACCAGGGAAGCGTATGCATATGGTGCACGGTCCGTGGATCGGCCATGGCAGATGTATCATGTGCACTGCGAGAGGATACATACGCTTCAAAGTGAAGCTCAATATGACAACTTCCCCGCCCCTATCATGGAGATGGTAAAATTAATTTGGGAAGGTAAACGGGCTCTTATGAAAACGTGACCCAATTCCAAGTGGTCTTTAAGGTGATTTTCACATCAGTGAACACTAGTCCCGTATTTAGAAATCTTTATGTTTGTGACTACTTGCGCCGTTGCCTATTATACAATGTTAATGCGCATCGCTACTTCGGCACCAACGTCATCGAACTCATAGGCCTACATCGTTCTTTTTCCAGTGCGTTCAAAGCCACGGTTTGGCAAAAGCAATACCGACGGTCACGGAGGGTGTATGAGGACCGACGTGTAACGGGCACCCTCCAGGTCACACCAAAGGAGATCTTGCCTTCAGTTCTGTCTTCACGATCTCCGCCCCAAACGCCTGCTTGAAGCTGGGATTCTTGGCGTGCCGGTGGGTGCGGGTGAGGAACTCGCAGACCACCGTGCAGCGGGCACCGCGCAGAGACCGCTTCTCTCGCAGAAGCGTCACGCGCACAAACGGGTCACACGTGCCCACGTAGTCTCGTGATGGCAAGTCGCTTGCATCCTGGGAATGGGAGCAATTTTATTTGGCTGGTTATTGAAGTTGAATTCCATTAGTGCAAGAGCGTTATATGTTATCGCATGCAATTGCCATTGAACGCATTCTATTGTTGGTGGCTTAGCCACAGCTGATCCGGTCAGACGCCCGTGAGCGGCCTGGAGATTTGTTGGAAAAAAGTGAGCGCACGGATCCAAAGAGTGGAAATGGAACGCGTGAATGAATTATGTTGGCCATTTGACCGAGGCTGCTGATTCATGCAGCCGCTATATTGGCCATTTGGCCAAGACTACTGCTATGTTGGCCATTTGGCCAAGACTGCTAATTCACGCAGCCGCTAAATTAATTTTCTATAGCACTTGTGAAGATGTACTCTATTACATACGATTAAGAGAGGAACGCTCAGGCTCTAAATCAATCAGACTGTCGCTAGATGAAACGTTGAAAAGAATAAGGTTGGGGAAAACACTAAAAACGGCGGAAAAAAATTATTTATACAACGAAGGCCTGATGACCGTTATCATTTCAGTCCGGCATATTACAAAAAAAAACTTAGAATTTGGCCGAGTTCGTAATGCTACCCAGGCACGTCACTCCTTACTGCGCTCGCGTCTGGCAAGACCTCGGAAAATCGTTCAAGGTCTGGCAGTGTAAAGGCTAAACAAATCTAGTGAAATCGGCTTGTTTCTAAATGTCAGAGTGCATTCATTTTACTTCAGTACGTTCAAATAGATAGCAGATACATTTGTCATTCCTATTTTTTTTAAATGGGACCACTCAAAAGTCACTAGCTACCGGCTGATCACAAAATCCGCTATCCACATAACAACCAGTGTCAGGTTGGCTAGCAGCCGACTGGAAAACCAGCAACCGATAAGAAACTATGCGTGCGGGCGTGCTTGCTTGCGTGTGTACGTCCGTTCGTTCGTCCGTTCATCCTTCCGTGCTTGTGAGGGGAAGGGGGAGAGGGGGCGTACTACAAACGCAACTTCTCCAAAATATCAGCCCACAGCCGGTTGCCTCGGCCAGGTAGAGAGCTCGCCCTCAAAAGCCCGCCGTGTAATAACGTTGACCCAGTTTCAACCCGCAAGAATTGAGTTAATGAAATCTAGATTTTTGTGCAGGTTCTTTATTTTAGACATATTTAATGTGTCACACATGGTCACACACATCAGTGATATTAGCACATGCAACATCTTGTATGACACATATAACACCACTGGCATCGCCCGTACAATGCTGTTTGCCCAATACGAGTTTTACTGATTAAAGAGCAGTGGTAAAAGACCTGGACTATGAAATTTCTTTGGTATCAAATTAGCTGCTTCGAACACTGAGATGTCGGTTCCCAATTACAGATGAGAAGGAGTAAGGTGAAACTTGGAAAAAAGATCCTCATTAAAGTGTACCATCCACTTGACTATTGTACCGCACCTCAGTAAACAAACGGCTAGGTATTGTAAAAATGCTTGCATTAACTCATGGCTTTGCACTGAAAAAGAGCTTATAAATGGCAAAGAGCAAAGTTTTTTGCAAGTCGTGGAAAGTCTTCTCAGCTAATTATACTCCCCGAGCACAAATAACACACTCTTGTATATCCCACAGAATTTGAATGCGTGTCAAGAATACACTGTTATCAGCCAGACGCGTACCTGATCCCCAGCTTTGGTTCCTCTTCTCACTGGCTCCTTCGGCAAAGCAATGCCCTGTTTCATGGTTCCTGGTGGTTCTTTCGATAAGACAAAATACTATTTCTGGTTCTTGTTGGATCTTTCAACAGACCAAGATCGTGGATCGTGGTTCCCACTAGTTCCTTCGAGAAAGCCCAAGCTTAGATTCTAGCTCCATCTGGTTCTTAAGCAGAGCACAGATCTGTTAATTAGGTCTCATCGGTTCTTTTGAAAACAATGAACGTTGTAAGCCGGTTGTAATTGACTTTTATAAGTACAAGACCCTGATTCATGGTTCACAGCCTTAAAGTCATGCAAATCACACAGGATAACCCACATATTTTTTGCTTTCACATTCATCAAAAGTCGCAAACCACAGGCAAATCAAACAACCAGCATGCCCTGATACCACTAACGCAACTAACAGAGCTCAACTGCTAGTTATAGATTATTTGCTTATATGTATATAGTTTTATATATGCATGATAATTTCACCTGCCAGGCACACTTCAACGCTGTATGCAATGATTTTCTGATCGCAAATGATCTCAATGATCTTTGAAGTATATATAAGTTGAAGTATATATATATATATATATATATATATATTATTAGTATATATATACATATATATAATGTAAAATAAATGTAAATATATATTTGTAGTTATTATCTAGGCATATATATTAAATATATCATATACAGTAGTATATATCTAGGTATATAATATATATAGATCGAAATACATTATAAGTTATATTAAAGATCAAAGCTTAGAATTGAGCGGCTCATAGCTGAAATTCTCACACAGGAAAGCTAGCACATTTCTGCTTCCACACCGTAAGAAAGTCGCACACAGCAGGCAACTCAAACTGCATGTCCCCCCATACCAGCATCACAACAAATAAAGCTTTACTGTTAGTTGAAGATCATTGCATACAGCGTTGAAGTGAGTGCCTGGCAGGTGAAATTATCACCCGGATAATCCACATATTTGCAATAAAAAGCAAAGTCACACACCACAGGTGTGTCAGTCAGCACTCCTGTCATTCAGCAGTCATGTCAGCCAGCAGTGCTGTCAGCAGCAGCCCTGTCAGTCAGCACTCCTGAACAGTGAGCAGTGCCGTCAGCCAGCAGTGCTGTCAGCAGCAGCCTTGTCAGCTAGCAGTCCTGAACAGTCAGCACTCGTGCTAGTCAGCAGACCTGAACAGTCAGCACTGCCGTCAGCCAGCATTTCTGTCAGAAGCAGTCTTGTCAGTCAGCAGTCCTGAACAGTCAGCACTCCTGTCAATCAGCAGTCTTGAACGGTGAGCAGTGCCGTCAGCCAGCAATGCTCTCAGCAGCAGCCCTGTTAGTTAGCAGTCCTGAACAGTCAGCAGTGCGGTCAGCCAACAGTGCTGTCAGCAGAAGCCCTGTTAGTCAGCAGTCCTGAACAGCCAGCATGACTGCGTTTATATAAATGGCCCACATGACTACATTCTTAATAAAATCATGCCAAGCTGTCAAAATTAACGTCATTATTGTCTATTTTTATGAGATATTTACATCAAATTGTTCAATTTGTGCACACTGTTTCGCTGCTTTGTCATCCGTGCACACCACATTCCGCAGGTTTTCAGTCACTAAGACCTGGCCTTCAACAAGCTAAACATGATTTCCATACTTGTCTTGATTGTGTCAGAAGACGCTGATTTTGGAACGATTGAAAACTTAAACGCTTGTAATAAATACCTTATTTCGCTCACTCTATTTTTGTATTCGGCAGGAGCCCTTAAAGTCTGCCCCACAACCTAGCCAAAAGTCTGCGGACTATTGCCGGGTCAGATGTTGTGGGCTGGTCGGCTGAAAAGTTGCATCTCTAGTGTGCACGTAGTTCCGTAACTCAGTCACACGCACACGTAGCTTAGTTGTAGTTTACGTTTGTTAAAATGTTCTGTGGGCATTACAATTCGCTGCATATCGCGTGTTGTTTTCATGCATATCTCGGCTGTAAAGTGCATTGCTCAGTTGCTTTGAAGGTAGATGATATTGCTTATGTGACAGGCCCCGAACTTGTGAACCTCATCAGGGACTCGAACCTCCAGATACTTGAAGTACACGAGTTTGCAACAGGCCTGTCCTGAGCTACAGCGCGTTTTCAACACACTATCATCACCACTCAAGCCTTGGCTGGACGCAATTGACCACATTTACACCAAAACAAGCACACGAGGATCATGGTCTTGTCAACGTGGATCTGAAATCACAGCCGTGACACCGTGAACCGCTGACGGTCAGTTTAGGTAATAACGTCACTCGACTGCACACGCTTCGACCTCGACTCGACGTGAAGGCAATAAACATTGTGCCTACATGGCAACAACCTCTCACCTGCACATTAATTTGGAGTTTTCCAATCTGCCTCTCCCCATTCGTTTGGTATTGCAAGGAGAAAGTCAACTGCCCCAACTTAGACGAGCCGAGAATGGCTTCGGTAGGCAACGACAACTGGGAGCCCTGAAACAAAAAAGAAGCACAGGTCAGGTCAGGTCAGTGCATACAATTTACAGTGCCGATTAGTGAAACATCGGATAGGTGAAAGCGAACGATTTTGAATATTCCTAATGCATGTTCGATTGAAAATGACCCTAGACTCCGCTTAAAACAAATTTTTGGTGCAGCGCTCAAGGTTTCGGGCCTTTTCAGTACCGTTAAGGTGAAAATTGCTCGTAATAAACCACTCATACATTTGTCGATATCGCATGCTTTAACGTGTTGAGCCTTGCCCCATCTTCGGAGACAATTAACTGATACAAGTGATAAGCCTTCAGTTTTCAAAACAACGGTCGGGCATCTGTTTCCTTATAACCTATTTCTATGTGGAGAGTGCGAATGTTCTGTGTCTATGAAGTATAGTTTCTGGAATGTGCGTCAAAAAGATCCGCGATGGAATAAACGATACAGAGGTGCGTAGCCACATCACATCAACAGTAGCTACCACCAAGAACCTTATAATGCCAAGAGCTGTGCAGGAATTTGACTGTTTTGTTCAGCGCTGGGTGAATTTATTGATGAATGAGCCTTCGAAATTTTTAGAGGCGTCTTCAATCATCACATGACTGTGTTAGTATTGTCCGCCGGTTGTTGTCGTAAGTATATGCCGTTAATGGGAATGTTCTACGGTTGAAGGTATTGAAGTAAGTATCAGATGTGATAAAATAAGCTTACTTATAACTCTTGGTGTGCTTACAAATGGAAAAGACTACTCTAGAGAACAAAAGTGAATGCTTTTTATCTGTTTAATATGTGCATGCTTGCGCGTGCATGTACGTGTGCGTGTTTGCGTATGTGACGTACGATTTCATGATGCCTTTGAAGCTTAATTGTTTCATTTATCACTACATCTTCTTCTTGTAAACCACAGCAATGATCTAACAGTGGCTGAAATAATAAACCCAGACTAGTTCGCTAGCCCACCTTGCAGAACGGAGGCATCAACAGAGCTCCAAGCACTCTGATGCCCTAGGTAGGAAGCGTATTGCTTGGAACTGCCCACAAAATTCCACAAAACATAAGAACATGGCAGGTTTCGATCCTAGATCTTTTTATGCCGCTGATGTAAATACCATAGAATCCGCTTTGCTCTTCCCCAAGCTTCGAAAACAAAACGGCACTAACCTTTCGTGAGCTCCGAGTGGACGTGGGAGAATGACGTCCGCTGTCGGACATTGAAGAGTAGGTCGAGTCACGCCCCCTAGAGTAAAGGCTGATGCCATCCAGCAGTCCAGTCCTCTCTGAAACCATTCCGCGACTCCGAGCAGGTTTAACTCAGACTTTTATCTGGAGTACACAATGATGCACCAAGTAAGGCGTTTCGAAAAGGGGGACTTACGCACTCCAGAAAAAGCCCAGAAACACGAGAGCGATTAAATTTGGCTTGAGTCTGGCACCAACAAAATGCAAATGCGTGCCCAACGTCCTTTAACTGCTAAAAACGGCATGCATCAAGCTGTCGTGGCGCCGCGGCACCTTAAGAAAAAAAGTATCAGCGAATGCGTTCCAGGACAATTTGCGAGAAAGCCGAGTGCCTCGTCAAGACGCGCAGCTCCAACAGAATCGGCCCGAACCCCCAGACCGCGCGTGTCAGAGCGCTGCGCCGTTACCTGGGCGTTTCTTCAGCGGCCGGGGAGTATCCAGATCATCCCGGGACTGGCTCCTGCTGGCGTGGCCCAGAATCTGCGACGATCGTTGCGAACCGCTCCTGTTCCCATGGGTACCGGCATCTGGGGCGGCACGAACCCTCACTGAGATGGGCGACACAATGTGCTGCTTAGAACTGGGCAGTGTGCGTGGTTGCCTGCTGGGACCTGCTGGACATGGACCTGGGACCTGAAGTGAGGTCAGGGGACCTGTTGGACCTGGACCTGGGCCTAAAGTGGGGTCAGAGGACATGTTAGACCCGGACCTGGGACCTGAAGTGGGGTCAGGGGGGACCTGCTGGACATGGACCTGGGACCTGAAGTGAGGTCAGGGGACCTGCTGGACCCTGGACCTGGGACCTGAAGCGGAGTCAGGGGACCTACTGGACATGGACCTGGGACCTGAAGTGAGGTCAAAGACAGCTTCTATCGGAAGCACAGGGTGGGCGAGGATCAGTGGGCGAGATACTAGCCTATGGCCTAAACCTCCGGGCATAAAAGTAACCCTAGCCAGTCAGGGCAGTGATCAAACTCGGGGTCCATAATCCGTGGTACAACTCAAGTCAGCTGTGTTATGGTCGAGAACGAACAGACTGATGCCCCCGGGTGTGGACAGACTATAGCATGAACCGTATGAAATGTGGCGTGCGGGCAGGCAACAAGGCACACGCACAGCTGATGCGCACACGCCAAAGCACGCACAGTCACGTGCTATACAGCACGCGCCAGTATAGGGGTTTAGATGGAGCGTGCCCGAGTCGTAACAGGGAAAGGGAAGGGAGGCTGGACACCTCAATGCTACACTCGGGTGATTGTCTATCATGTATAAGCTTTTCTTAATTTTTTCAAAGCACTCGCCCTGATTCGTCGTTTTTTATAACACGGATTGACAGGGTGTCGGTGTGACCCCCTTGTGTTGCCAAAGTAATGAGATAGAGCTTGGCGAAAAATCAGTGAATTTGTCTAAAAAATATATCACAATTGGTTCTAGTTTGTACGTTGTTAGGTCACTAACTGACTCCACGATGCCAGGTCGGAGGTAAGATTTTCCAGAAGATCACACATTCAGCTTCATAGCACCATGCATACGAGGTCATGCCTCGAGGCGACACAAACCAATCGTGTTCCTCGTTCATTTCTTAGTGCAACGGTGCATATTTATATCGGTCCGCCAGGCACGTAGCGCGGTATCGTCGGCTGCCACCCGACAGCCGCTAAGGCCGTGCATCGCCGTGGAGTGTTCCTAAAAAACCACCGCTACTCCGAAGCCAGAGGAGTTCGGAACAGGTTTGTGGTATCACGACACGCGCAATGGATGCCCCCATAGGCTGCTGAGAATTTCGGCGCGGTTGCACAATATACCGGAGAGGTATCCTCTAAAAAATTAGGAGGGAGGTTGCATTGAACCCCCCCCCCCCCCCTATCAGCATTGAACCCCCGTGAGGGTTAAAGAGAGTGTTTCACATTTGCGTGGGGTTTTGAACTAAAATTTAAATCTCGCAGATCATTCGGTGCAGTTCACAGCCCTGGCCGTAAGACCGAAACCTGTCTAGTTTCTGAGGTAAACGCCCGCGAAAATGTGCAGACTTATTCGTGAAACGTGAAGATTGTTTTAAGGTCACAAAGGCATCCATGACACCCTAATAACACCATTCAAATCCTGTCACTCCATTACCCATGCGGCAATCAAGGCTGGGAAAAATAGAATCGTCGAGTCGTTCATACCTGAGGTCCGTGAGCATGACTTCCAGATATCACGGCCGTCAATTGATCTTCAACTGGTGTTGTGCACGGTACGATGACGTAATAAAACAAAGACGTATTGAGAAGCATGTTTAATTAAAACAGATTCTGTTTTCTAGAGCAGGCTTTTCCACTTCAGTGTCCCAGTAGTTTCAATTGAGCTTATTTCATCACAGCTGATACTCGCTTCATTATCTTTCAATGCGGAGTATTCTCTTTATAGGGAATGTCCCATTTCTGGGGCATATTGGGGTTTATCATTTTGGGCTTTTCAAATTCAAAGTATCCCAATAGTTACAAATGAGCTTATTTGATTACACCTGATGTTTGCTTCACCTTCTTCCAATGTGTAGCATTCCCTTTGTAGGGAATATGTCACCTTTGGGGCATATTTCAAAAGCATACGCTAGTGAAACAGTGCTAGGCGCGTCTCATAATAGCATTGGTTAGTGCTACTACAGCACCGTTAAGACATGATAAGGATATCGATTTTAGCATTTTTAGTCCAACATACGTTGTCAACGGTTTGTAACAGCACTATACTTCTTCCCTGCAGTCGCGACAACCACCGTCATGACAAACACCATACGCACCTCCAATAGTACAAATAAAAGAGCGTTTGTGATTGGCCCAGCGGGCAAGGGCCCATCACCGAGGAACATGTTGGCTGAAGTTTGAGCCTCTGCATCTAATAGGTAATATGATGTGCGTATTCCCAAATCCAAAATACGCCTCGAAAAGAGACCCTGTCATAAATGCCATGAGGGAGAAATCGAAGCCATATTGAAGCCATATTGTTTCGTTGAATTCATGAGATAGTAGCTTCATGTTCGCATGTTTTTGTATAAACAGTGTTCCAAGCTTTCGTAAAATCTACATATTACACAGTATTTTAGCACTTTCGTGAGTTGCAAACAATATGAAAAACACACGATGGAAAAATAAGGCAAATGTCACGTATCACTTTAGTCGTTGTGAACAGAAAGTCAACTCAGATTTCTTCTACATAGGCTGCTACTTCAAATAAAAATTCTGACCTTTCCAGAAGGATTTCGAGAAAACTGGTATTACGGATCAAATTGTAGGCGTCTGATGCAGCAAACAATGAAAAGTACAAAAAAGGTGAGATGCTCCCTTTAAAGGGAATGGTCCACATTTGAAGATATTAAAGCAAGCATCAGATACGATGGAATGGGCATAATTAGACCTACAAGTATATTTTTGCATGGAAAAGACTGCTCTAGACGATAAACTTTCTCTTTCTCTCTCTGTTCGTAAATTTGTTCTTCAATGCATCATTGTTTGATTGCGTGATCGTGCCCTGCACATCATTGGCTGAAAACCAGTTGGCGGCTGTTATATCTGAAAATCAGGCTCACGAACGCCAGATATGAACGACCCGACAATGATATTTGCTTGGCCTTGATCGCCGCATGGCTAATGGAATGACAGAATTTGAATAACATTATTGTAGCGTCATGGATGTCTGGTTGACCTTGAAATAGCCTGCACGAAACAGTTTGCACACCTTTGCGTGTGTGTAGTTCAGAAACTAGATTGGTTTAGGCCTTGAGAATGGTAAGGCTATGAACTGCACCGAGTGGTCCTCAAAGATGGTTATTTCAGTTCAAAACCAGCTAAAGGTGGAATACTCCCTTCAAGACAAACTCAGCGCTGTCCATACGCTAAAAGTACATGAGCAAGAAGAAAGAAATGATCTAAGGAGATTGATGCCACAGGAATGCAGTATCTAGTACGGACCTTTGTAGATGAGGCCGTGGAGCGGGCACACCTCGCCCACCAGGCAGACAACCAGCAACACGAGCAGCAGCACGGCGCCGGCACTGCCCACGATGATGAGCAGTTTCTCCTCGGCCGTCAGCTGCGAGATGAAGTCGCTCTGGTACGCCTCGGGCAGCGCCGAGGGGCCGGCCGCAGCGCTACTGGTCATCCCGGCAGCTAAGCCCCATGCCGGCCCGCCAGCTCCGATCCGGCCGGGCTCTGTCAGGTCGGCCGGCCCGGGTCAGACGTGACGCGCCGCTGACGCCGGGATGCAGCAGGCCGCCGCGCTAGCCGTCACCGTCGCCGCGGCCGCGCCCGCCGCCAGCTGTGGCCCTGCGACCGGACCACCTGTGGTGTACAGTCGAGCATCGCGCTGCGCCACCGCGCCGACGACTGACTGTACAGGACGGAACGGGCGCACAGCAGCGCAGATAAATGCCGGGAACGGTATCATAACTTACCAGCCGACATACCCGCGCTCAGCCCTTGCTCCTACTAAATGTGGGCTAAAAGATTAATCTTGAAGGGCAAACTCTCCCCCGCTGCTTGATTGCTGGCTTGCTGGCTTGGTTGTACAATGTCGAATGGTGCAGTGCGTAATAAAACTAGGAGTTCGGATTCCTTTAATTCAATGTTTATCCGAATATTCGGATCGGCGGGCATTTGAATGCCACAAGCAGCCTTCGCATATTTGGAAACAATCGGAAGCTGAAATCATAGCACAAATATCCCAGAAACACTCGTCAGAAGGCGTTCGACAAACTACGAGCCGGCATTTGGTCGGGTCACCCCGTGCGAGTGCCATTTATTACATACACCCGACCAATCCTAGTACCTCGGAGACTATGTATCTAGAAAATCGCAGTTCTCGCAAGCTCTCGATGTCCCACCACAGGTTAGGCTACAGGGCTAACCTGAGCTTGATCGCTCACCTCAGGTGTCACCCGTCCAGCGCTGGGCGCTCCGCGCTGTCACCCATACCCACGGGGCGATCATCGCCGACTGATGTCCTTCAGACCCTCCGCCCTCATTAAGCGGCCACTGCATGCTTAAGCACCCCCATGTTTGCAAATACATTAACCACCCGGAGCGCCAGCAGTCAGTGGGTACTGATAACGGGCTGCCCGATGTGACAGGTGGGTAGCTGTGTGTTTTTGTGAACCACAGCTGGGCTCAACAGGAAGCAAGGCCTCAAGGAATATAAATAATTCGTCTCAAGAAATACATTCAAGCAATATCGGTTAGCGTGTTTACGTCTGCAGCTGTGATTCTCATGCTTTGTTGACTACGATTCCACGCGGTCACATCGAGGTTAAGGACTAGCAACTTGTCACGTTAAATGGTGTTTTAATGTCCTCATCATTTCTCGCCACTTATCTTAAGCCCCTAATCCCTTGCTGTTCGTCACGTTTGTGGTGCATGCCAAACGCATGCTTTCTTAAGAACAAAATAAACTGAAGCACATGCTGTGTGCATCAATGCGGCATAGTGTCCATCTACCCAAGAGCTTGTCACATTTTCCACTTCCGTGCCCTATCATTTTCTCTATTGCAAAAACACTTATGATGAAAGGAATGAATGTGCCACGGAAGTTCACCCGGTCTTGGAACGCCGATCGACACTATCCCATTTTACACCCAACATCAAACGTGAGCTAGCGCGAAATGCGTAAAAAATGCTGCAGGAGATGGAACGCCGGCGCCAGCACAACGTCTGGCAATTGTTGATATGTAATCACCTCGTGCACGCCGGCGTCGTGCTGACCTATATTTCCGAACGTTGCATGAACCGATTGTACTGATTTACCACACCTGTGCGGGCAGTATGACATATGGGACACGTGCAGTGTCCTTATTCGTTTCATGTGTAAAACGCAAAACTAACAAACTGCGTCAGTACCGCCAGTCACGGGTCATAACCGGGCTCGGATCTCGACCAGACGGCGACGTACACGCAACAGGCACAGATATACTGAGGAGAGAATCGAAAAAAGTATCGGCACCAGTTTGGGATGTCGTGTGGCAAGTGTCACGCACGCTTCAGCGAAACCCATGGTTGTGCCTGACTTAGGGCTGATTTGCCAAGAAACCACTATTACATCCTGCATGACATTCCATTCCAACCACAGGATATGGCACAAAGGTAGAATAATGCTCCGCGGAAAACACGGCACTGGTGGGATGCGTCGAAAGCAGCCATAAAAGCAATTATACACCGCATGATAAGATCGTGTCCAGAACTATCGAGCCTTCTTAATAAATTGAGCGTTCCATAGTCAGTAATGACAGGCGGCAGGAAGCCCATCATAAGGCGACAAGAAAAGAAAACACGCGGCGCAGCATAGACAGGCAGGGAACTAGTGGCCTCAACATGCCTGCGAAAGTTGAAAGTCGTCTCGGTGGTGACTGTACGGGTGGCTATTACAGTCCCTTGTCAAAAGTACAGGAAATGGAAGCATACAGACACTAAACAGATAGCACACAGTCAGACACTCGTTCGCCAGCTGCCAGTAGCATTAGCGCCCAACAGATGCGCCCTCACCGCGTGAGCAAAACGCTGCCGTGTCAACTGTGTGATGCCGGCTGCCAGTGCATTATGCGGTCCTGGCGCGTGGTACCCGAAACGGCTCCTACGGCCCCATCTCTGCCTAGGCAGGTGTAAGAGCTTATTCTACCGAGTGGGACGCACACGTGCGTCCGGCTTAACACGCGCCCGGCTGGCCGGCTGGATACCCTTCGCTCGGTTGGGGGGGTCAATTTGACCCCCTAAGATCTCGGGAACTAAGAAAGCTAGTGACACCAAATTTACAGGATGTGTTGACCTGTACGTGAACTCACTTAGGTAAAGTTTCAGGTTCCTGGGTCGACCTTCGGGTCAAAAAAGGTCAAACAAGGTCAAGTTACAGGTTGGTCTTTAAAGTGCCCCAGAACCTAGATGACCGTTTAAAAGCGAAAGGTCACATGCTCATTTAAGGTCAGTGACCTTGATTGACCTTTTGAAGGTCAAGGCGACCAAAATCATACAAGATTGCTTTGAGTTTTGCATTTGACCAAGCGACAAAGATCACGCTAGGCAGCATGTTCCCAAAGCAAAATGTTGACCTGAGTCATTTTAGGTCAATGACCTATTCTGACCTCTAAGAAGTACATGGATGATGCATAATACGGTTCCTGCTATCAGTAAATTTGAAATGAGCACCAGAAACCATCCCATACAGCAAGCCCTATAGTAACAAAACAGGTTGGTTTTGACCTTGGTGTGACCTTCATGCCTGACCTCAGGTCAATTTAGTTTGCTGATTCAACTGTTGTGTTGCCTAAGAAAGCATCTCAGAAATGTATGGCTTCGTGTAACACTCTGTTGTTGGATCAAATTGAAGGATTCCCTAGAAATTGCCTTCGCTGAAACCACGGTCTGACTTTGACTTGCCATAGGTCAGCGACCTTACAAGGTACATCTAAATTTTTGATGTCAGACGATTCTTTATTCGCTTGTCCACATCTATGCAAAATTTGGCGCGGCTACGCCGCGCCGTTCGGGAACCATTTTGGAAAAACCTTCGGGGGGGTCAATTTGACCCCCACCCGAGCGCGTGTTAACACAAAAGTGTCTCAGCACATCAGGCTCGACGTGAAGCATCCCGTTATGATTTAGGAAAACCACTCGGAGTTCTGTCATATGTCGAAGCAGCATCCATCAAAGTGTCTCACGCCGGTCAGACACATGAGATTTGTGTATTTGTTTGGGACGGGTAACTACCTTGACCACGTGTCTGCCGCTAATGACAAATTAGCGGCAGACACGTGGTCAACCTTACGTCGCCAAAAAACTCTTTGGCGACAAATTTAAGGATGCTCTTTATTTTACCAACGTTTGTGTGTGTGCCATTGCCATGAGCCGTGAGACAGTATCTGACCCGTGTGAGCACCAACGCCGCCATTACAGTTTTGATGATGCTATCCGAGAGGCAGTGCTGTGCGTGGAACAGCCCTACCAGGACGCGCACACACCAGCGGATGAGCTGGGACACGTGTGAATACCAGAACAGGGTGCTGCCAAAGACGACACTAAGTTCCTCACCTCCGCACACGGTCGCATCGCAGCGTCACGAAAAGTTGCGGTGGAGTCCGGGAGGCTGCATCAATTTTTACGAAGTCGTCAAAGTTTGGGCCCACCTAAAAGGTTTACAATTTTTCCTTCCCGGACAACGGCTATGGTGACCATTATACCATGACTTTTGCGAACCAAAGACATTTTTGGACAACAAAGTAGTTTACGCTCTTCTGTTTCTACAGATTGACAAAGTACAGCCCGTACATCACCTTTCCAATGTAGTATGGCCCATTTCGAGGAAAAAAGATAAAATGAAACCTGCCACGAAAACAACATATTTTATGCGCCATGTTGCGAGATAAGAAACAACAGACGTGATTATTATCAGTTTTAAATAAAAATAAACCAGCCGCGATGCATAAGTCTACCGCCTCCAAAAGCGCGTGCAAATAGGCTTTATTGACGTGATGAAGTGTCAGTTTTATGTGTTTCAATGAATACAAAACACATTCTCGTGCTTATTCACAAAAAGCAGGGCATGCAACTTGAACAGGAATGGATCTGGCAATTCGCTATCATGTTGGCAGAGAAGACTGATGGATGTTGATCGACCCGCGTTTTCAGTTTTTGCATTTCAAAGTGCTCTCAACATTCAGTTAAATCTAAGATGCTTCAGTGTTTGTGCAATGTAAGGCATTAGAAGTATTCAGTTGAATTGAAATGATCTGTTTACAAGAATTGTATAGGTTATATGGCCCCCCGCCAGGCGGGCCATAACACTACGAGTGGCGGCGGAGATGGGAGGGGCAGTGGAGTTACGAATGGTCGGTTTTTTGAGCGGGCACACACGTCACCAAGGTGTAAAAAGCGTATTAAAAATGCGTTCCACTGATCATTTACGGCCGAGGCAGTAAAAACACTTACCCCTCAATCAACACGCTGAAGATCATGGTAAAAGAAACGATGGCATTGCGTTTCAGGCAGCAGAATAAAATAACAGTAGGCTTCACTGGAGGTTTCGGGACATTTTCTAGTACACCTCTGACCTCATGCGGGCTGAAATGACGGAAGCTGCGCTTGCGTACGGTGTCATGGCAGGTTTTAAGCAATGCACACGTTTAAAAGAGAAACAGTGGAGGCAGTCGGTACGGTCACATCCACCGGCTCGCTGGATCACATCACTACGGCGGTGCTGCAAATCGCAG